CTAAATCGTGAATGAAAGTGTTTGTTGGAGTACTTAGTGAAGGTATACAAAATAATGCAAAACAAAATTCGGTCGGCCGTCATTTGACCGATGCGTGCTAATGACAGCTATACATATCTATATATTAGTATTAAAGATATTAATATGTACATATGTATAGCTTATTAATACGTAAAGCAAAAACATTGTAACTCTTTGTACGAAAATTGCGCTTACGGAGGAGTATGAAATTTCCCACACGTTTATATAGAGGAGTGCAGAATGCGGATACCTTTTTTAACACTATCTATGCATAAAAAACACATTAAATCAATAAAAAAAAACATTACACATGGTGTAATTACTTATGGTCTACTTTCGACCACTAGGTGACCACTAGTACGAATAGAAATGGGGTTTGTATACTTTTATTCTCGGATTTTTTTGGTTTAACGCGACAATCATTGAGCAAGTCACACGCCCGGTTTCCAAAGCACTGATCATCGTCGAAATTAACAAATCAGCTGTCAAATGGCTTTTTAAGTGTCATTTGAGTTGCCAAAAGGACATTGTTTGGTTAAATTACAAGAAATTGCCATATTTTCATATACTAGAATAAAATAAAAACTTTCAATCTGTTAAATAAACGGGTTTTCTCTAGACGATGTTTTCTCTCGATACACATTATATTTATCACAGTCGTGGAAAAATGTCAGCTTTGAATATATACGTTTTGATTACCAAAAAATGGGAATTATGCTAACCGGATGAACCTTAACGAGTGTGACCCTAGTTTTCTACTTACTTCTTTACTTTTATATAAGCTTAGCCACCTTTAATCATTGAATTTTTGTTACTGAGCACCCTGTTAAAGCATGTTGATTGAACAATGCTGTTTAGCAATAGACGCGAAGTACAAGATCTGTATTTAAGTTTCATCAGCGTTTATAGGTATTTGATTATTTATATCACTTTCTAATTCATAGCTACAAGTTGATGTAAACAACTGTCAAGTCAAGTTTCGATGGATGGTAACAATGCGCTTGAAATGACTTTATTTTAAAGGGCTCTAAAAATTTAAACACCCTGGATGGTCTTTCGACGGAACAGTGTAAATACATACCCAGTATTTTATTATGAAATCGTCAAAAGCATTTGAATCTAGAATTTATGACTGTTAAAGTAACTTCGAATATTAAAACTAAAAACTTTGGTTAGGTACCAAAGTTTTTAGTTAGGCACCTTTGAAATTCTTCTTAATGAATTAAAACTTTGCCTGCTATAAAATTCATTAAGCTATGTATTCTTTGTTTAAGTGATGTAGTTCTTGTTTTTATTACTATTAGGTTCACAGTTAAATGATCTCTGTTCTTAGCAAAGTCGTTATTCCATTGACACTGCAATTACCGCGCTCGGAGCAAACTAGCTAGGGCTGCCAGCAATTCTTCGACTGGTTGTAGTATCATTCAAAATAAGTTGAAGGAATAACGTAAAGAATACACAAAGATATATTGATATATCCAACCGAAACATAGTGTTTTTGCGTAATATATATTTTTTTAACAGTATATAGTACGCAGACCCGAAATACAGTACAATAATACTATGGGTGGCACTTGGCAACCCTAATTCCTGCCGACCGGCGAAGTTGTGTAAAGTTTCCGACTGAATATACTATATAAGTTAATTTTATGTTACTTCTCGAAAATGCTACGCAAATTTCATGCATTTATAGCAGATTTCGAAGGTGAGAACGGATGTTTCGGGTGACGGAGCGGTTAAATATGTAATATTAACTTCTTGGCGTAATACCGTTATGTAACGATATTTCGGTATTAAAATTGAGTTGCGCGACCGAGTTTTGAACTCAATCCAGTTATGGGTAGTTAAAGACAGTGATGTGGTTTGTCGATAGCTGCCCATGTAGGCCAGGAGTACCATGGCCGGCGGGGTCGTTGAACGGCGCCCCTCTCCCTACGCGTCTTCGGGCCCTACGCCACGTTTCTCCGATCCGGACCGATGCACGCGTCATCCCAAGTAGTTTCACTGCAAGAAACGCACCATCATCGGACGCTCCATTCGACGTTAGAAAACATATCTTATTTCCGCTCGAAGTCGGCCGTTGAACTCGCCATACGCCGAGTTACCAGCAACACGTGCGAATTTCGCTTGAGATCAGAGAAAGTTACGTCAGGTCATGATCTGATTACTGGAGTATCTCTTATATCTGAATTTCGCGTCATAGTGATTGTAAATTATTCTCATTATTGCAGTTAACATTATCGTATAGTTCTAGACACAAAAATTTTGTTTCTGTAGCTTTTGCTTTTGTTTAATCACCTTAATTAACAATTTTAAAAGTCTTCAAGAAATTCTTGCTCAAAGGCTACATACATTGGACGTACTAAAAACTGTATTTTAGTACTCACTTTATACAGATTTGAAGAATCGTAGAGCATAATGGTTATAGCATATCTTCGTGCACTTTCTCCACCAACCCATTGCGAGCTTGGGTCAGTTTGAACTGCAAGCGCTAAAAGACTTTCAACTTGCATCTGCATTGATTCTACTGAAGCAGTTGCTTTACTTTACAGGTTATATTCATATGATTTGTGTTTTCATGTAATTATGATAGTACTTAGTGAAAACTTTCAAATCAGCTCACCAAACCATTTCCATAAACGATATTCAACCGGTTTGGCAGTCTCGGTCATTGCAAGGTGCGTGTTCACATGATTTAAATTTCTAGAAAACTTGAAATTGAAATTTTGTAGGAAACTGACACAGCTTGGTCAGTTAAAACAGACGTTATTAATCGTTAGAACGGCTAAGACTGGGCGCAACTATTGAGGCCTGTTTCTCAGTACGCGATTTAGAAAGATCGCAGGCGCTTCTTTTACCAGACTTTCACAAGCTCGTCAAACCACCATTGACATACATCGCATCATTGTTTTTACAGTTTATTTCTTACACATACCCATTATTACACTAACCCATTTATTATAAGAAAACGTATTTAAAAATTTTGCCGAGAAATAAATTACATTGTGTATAACGTGCATTGTTCGTAAGTGTTTTTATGTTCGAATTTTTTTTAACACGGATTTTACAAAGATTTAGTGTTTGTTATTCGTGATTTTAATTTATTATTCTTAAGCATATAAATGGACGGTCCTTAAGATGTAATAAATTTTTCAAATCACTCTTGTAAATTGCAATGTCTATAAGTATCATCCATCTCATAATCACTAATTCAGATTCGAACCGTTTTTAATAAAATAAGTTTTAGGACGAATGATTACATAAAATGAGAATTTTCAGGAAACTATTAAAATATTATGTTATAATAAATTTTAAAACGTTGATAATAATCAAATAGAAATAATAACAGTAACAGATAATACGGAATACAATTTGTACAAAGATATTTTTCATTCGATATTCATATTCTGCGATAGTCAACAAACACACCTTGAATTCACTGATCAAAACAATATATTTTGACCAACGAATATGACAGGCTTCTAGGTATCTTATGATCAACAAATATAAAAAGTTTCGAAAAGTGAAACTTCCAAACTCATCTGATTTAACGTGTGAATGACATAAAAATTATAGACCATTATAACAGCAAAATGTTTCCAAGACAAAAATGAAATTAAAACTTATATTAATAGCTTCGGTCTCAAAGGTTACTAGTTATAACAGCGGTGAGTAAAGGGCAGGCTATTGTAGTTGTTAAATATTTTATGGCTAGTGCAGGTAGCGATACTGAAATAGATTGTTCGAGTTGTTTTCTTTTAGCTTTTATATTATATATTAAACTGTTAAATGTCACACACTTGTTTATAAAGTGAGAAAAGAGATTCAAAACCTATATTTGAGATATATTGTTTTAAGGCATCAAATTTCAAAGTTTTCAAGTCTTTATTTCTCAAGCAATTAACGGGCTTATTCTATTTGCTTTTCGTAATATTCTCATTACTTTCGTTAATTACGGCTAAATGCTTTCACACGAAGCGCGTGTTAAAGGGTACTTAAGTCTCCTTTCTCAACGTTCCATGACGTGTCCCCTCCAGAACATCCGGCGCTGTCGACTCAATAATCTCAGGCTACTTGACACCCTTGTGTGGTCTGCACAGACCCATTACGCTGCAATATAAGCTTACATCGTATCTATGCTCGCACGTTTGAACACGAAGCCGCGTAAAAATCGTTGTTAGTTGTCAAAGAGTTCCTCTGCGGTTTTATGGTTCGTATATTACGAAAAATCAGCTCCAGCTTCAACGGTTTTGGATACTTGTATATATTGTTACACTTTATACGTTTTCTTCAATGCGGAAAATAAATCGTCTTACTTACTTCGTTCTGAATCGCTAGTGGTTGTATGAATATTCCTAAATAAGTAACTTATTAATCATTCTAAGAATATCTTATTTCTGAGTACATTAATTTGTGTTCGTTGTATCTCTTCATGTAAGAATTATCGTGTTACCTTAGGTCCCAATTTGCAGCAGGCGTGTTACTCATCACATTCTGGAACTTGATTTATATCTACATTATCTCCGTCTAAATCACAAATTTTCAACATGGGCGACCCCTTTTTTTACGTAGGAAAAATTCTTTATGGAGCTCTCGCCGACTTGTGGGTAGCAGGGGTATGGGTAAAATAAAGTATATAATGTAGTCTCAAAAAAAAAAGCCACTAGCCGTAGTCAACTTTGGTAATGATTAATTATTGTTATGTATGCATTATAATCATTTTTATCGCGTATTCGAGTATTCATATATTTCGGTATTTCGAGAAATTGATGAAAATTAACTAAAAGATTCCATTATATTTAGATCTACCTACCTACATTAAATGTAAAAAAGTTAAATATATATTAAAAAGTTCCAACTTTCGATATCACGTAAACGTAACCTGATAAATATGGTGATTGTTGCAATCCTGCAAAAATTGACAGTTTAACTGTTCCTGTTCTAACTTGCTGTTGACTGGCTTCTTGTAAAGAAGAATAATGTTCGATATGTATTATTTCAGTCAACGCAGCCGTTCGTACGATTCCGACGAGCATGAGAGGGGTGCGTGTGAGTGGTGCGAGTACGCGCTCATCATAACCCTGGCCACCATACTCCTGATCGGGGTGTCCGCGCTCACGATCTTCTGGATCTTCTTCTACCGAGAGGGCTACGCCTGGGCGGATGACGTTCCCGAGAAGCAGTTCAACCTGCATCCTACCCTGATGGTCGCCGGCTTTATCACTTTCAGTGGTTTTTGTAAGTGCTTACTGCCTTTTTTTGTTGGAAAAATCTTTTATGAATCCTCTGCCACTGGATCGGGGGAGAGGATCAGCATCTGTCTCTGTCGCATCGGCCGGAGACACGGGAAAGTGCTGACTGCCTAGCATAAATGTTATAAATGCTTAGTTCGCGTGTGAGTTTAACAGTAATATGATTACGGTAATGTACATGGTGGAAGTTCTTACCACCGCATCCTTAGGCGGTCCAGGTCTACATTTTTTTCGATTTAGTACTGAACCTGTTCATCAAAGCTATCAAATTTGGTTCCGGATAGAAAAGGTCAGAGCGTTTATGATTGGGGTAGTAGCACTTTCCTTAGTCTATGCTGAACGTTAAAGATAAAAGACATCGTTCAAGATCGTTTCCAAAGCGATTCCAAAGCAATGGCCAAGAACAATATTATTGGAAATTACCCTGCAGTTCAAAAAATATCTTCATTCGTCCTTGGTTTACTGGTTAAATTAATCTTACAAATTTATAGAGCACATATTTTCAATTTGCAGCGGTGCTGCTGTACCGCATCTGCCGATGCTTCAGGCGCATCTACGTCAAACTGCTGCACGCCATTTTCCACGCTCTAGCGTTCCCTTGCATCGTCATCGGCTTCCTGGCCGTGCTCGACTTCCACAACAAGAAAGGCATCAATAACTTCTACTCGCTTCACAGCTGGATTGGCTTCGTTGCCATGGGACTGTTTGGAATTCAGGTACAGGTTTTAGATGTCCGATCTTCAAATAACACAAACATAACTGTAAATTATTTTATAACAGGCAGCGATAGTCACAACTGGCAATGTGATTATCTGGTTAGAACCTGCGATACGAAATTACATATGATTTGCTAAATAAAAAACATGTCACTTGTTAACTTTCTCAGCCATATTTATTCAAAATTTGTGAGGGCTTGTTCAACATCGTAAGAAGGAATATTTTGAATAAGGTTGGAAAAAATGTCTATTCTTTTCGCAGTATGCAGTCGGCTTCTTCAGTTTCCTTCTGCTCTTAATCTGCAATAAAGGCACTGCTAGCTTCCGTGCTTCTCTCGTGCCAATTCACGCCGCCTTCGGTATCCTGACTTTCGTACTTGGCGTTGCGGCGTGCCTGACTGGACTTACTGAAAAGGCAATCTTCACCTTAGGGTACGTATCGAAGGGGCTAGACCCTTTAACGGGGAAGCTAAGCAGGAAACATAAACATTTATGTGTAATTTCCATGTAGTTGTTACGTTGCATTATTGAAATAACTTGAATGGGAATGTGTGCATGTCGATACACAAATGACCTTGTTTGCTATTTAGACAACGTTTCTTTTTTCATTTAAAAATACATTTTTTTTATTATCAGAATTTTCATGACAACTATAGTTGACCTCATAAACATTAAGATCTGGTTACCTTTCAAATTCTCATCCACCTTCTGTATGTTTCCGATCAAATGCCTTTGTGAATGCTTCTGTTTTGTGTGTGTCGCTTGTATGTGTACGTATTCACAGTGCGGAGAAATACAGTGGGCTGCCCAGGGAGGGAGTCGTCATCAATGCTATCGGAGTAGCATCAATCGCGATTCTCGCAGTCGTCATGTACATTGTGTCCAGGGACAAGTTCCGCACTTCGTCGTCCCGCGAAGAACACATACGGGTCTCGGTAGACCTTTAAGATGAAAATCCGCAAGAGCAATGTTTACCCGGTATAGCATCGTAAGACAAGTGATGTCAAATGACAATATGGACGTACTCGTCCATAATTTCCGTTAACACCCGTCAGCGTGTTGCTATTTCGAATAGTAAATATGATATTTACATCGCTGTCGTGTTATAAACTATTATTCAGTAGTTTTCTAATATTCTAGTTACAATTTTTCTTACCCGAACACTTTAACACGAACATAACTGAATTAAAAGAATTTATTTTAAAATAATAAAACACGTGGAAAATGTATTTTAAATTAGATATTCTAATTTATAAATCAACATTCTCTGTAATATATAATGTATAGGTAAGTGCTAAATAAAGTAAATTATGCATAAATAACGGGTAAAGAAAATGTTTAATTACAACTACATATTTCGAGTTACAATTTTGTTATGCATAAATGACAATATTTGTTTACTAAAGTAGTGCAAAAAAAAATAAAGGAGGCTTATCGAACTGTAAGGTTTGGTCTGTATCAGACCAAATTGAAACCGTTTTAGTATTAATCAATAGATTAAAACTTTCACGAAAAACGTAAATATAAGACTAAACAATTTCCATTAGAATTAAATGGAGATACGTATTGATGCATATAAATAAAATGTTTGTAAGCTTATTAGACTTTTTCTTGTTTTAACAATTCGTGCATGCTTTCACCCGTGTTATTAATATTTGTAAGTAATGCCAAACATTCTTGTTTGCTTATTTGCTTGCATGATTTAACGTAACATATTATATATTACCTACTGCTTTTGCTTATGTAGTTAGAATTCTGTTTTTATATGTAGACTTATCAGTGGTAGAGAATGGTAGATCACTAATAGTTTCCAGCATAAAATATTAATCCTAAAGTATTAGAGTCGAGTTTTCTTATTTTTGACAAATATGTATGTATATTAAAGGTACAAAAATATATTATGTAAGTAGTTGTCTGTACAAATAATTTTGGTTTTCAAGGATTATTATTCAAAAACAACATTTTGACAATTAATGGTTTATTTAAATTTACATTTTATGCACTGTAACACCGATACATCACTACAACTCACTAATAAAAATCACTGTATCAAAAATGTATAGGTACCTAGTGAAACTTATCTATAGATTCCACAATTTTATTGTGTTCTATTATTATTGAAGTTATACTTTTTTGGCGCCTTTGGGAAAAATTATGAGAGTGAATTTTTACGATACGCGATACCAGAAAGCGACACAAACTTCATGTTGTTATCATGGCAACCAATATCTACTTTTGATTTCACATTTACTTAAAGTTCCAGGTTATTTATTTAATCTTTTAATTATTTTTAATTACTTATTTAAATAATTGTCTCTTTTTCAAAAACAATGAATACTGGCACACGGGATGAAATGCTTAGTTATTTTTCTTCTGTTACGCTAATGAAGTATAACCTCTCACGCGCGTACATAAGTACGCACACATACCGTTTTTTTTATTATTATGGCAATACTAACACGGGGCATGCGGTGTACAGGAGCGAAACCTACGCGTCGATGTCGCAAGAGGCCATAGTGATTAACGCTATTGGTATTTCGGTGGTGGCCGTTGCCGTGGTGGTGCTCTACACCGTCCGCGGAACTGGGGGCTACCGTCTGCGGAAAGTCTCCGCTCAGCATCCGAGTTAAGCTTCCTCCAGTGACCACGCAGCCGCCATATAGTCAGTTTGAAATCCCCACCAGAATAATTAATTGCGGTCGATGTTCGGTCAAAATTTACTTTTGTGCATTACCCGATTTTGTCAACTGATTATTTTTATTTATATATTATTAAGATACTTTATGCTATGTTTCCGAACGCATCCGATAACTTTGACACTATTTGTGGCTGACAGGAGATAAGGAAAATAAAATGTTAATGTGTGTTATTTCCGGTATGTACATGTAGTGTGGGGGAATGTAGTGGAACATTATTATGTTGGAAAATTACAATCATTATTTAATGCTCATTGACATAAATTATTTTGATTTTGCAATTTGTTCTCTGTTACCTTACTTTTGTATGTACTATCAATTCACTGCAAGTAAGATTGTATGCAAGCAGTTATAAAACATTGTTTAAAAAAGTATAATGGGATATGTATTTGGTGAACTATATAGAATAATAAGCCCGAAATTTATTCAGCCCCTATAAAATTTATAATAGTTAAATATGTTAAGTTTAAATAGTGTGACGATTATTTTAAAGAAGCGGTAATAAGCTCAAGTTGTTAATATAAGTGGAAGAAATTATATCATTTTAATGTGTTTATTCATTCGGTTGTGCAATGTTTCCTTGTAGAAAAATTCTGCGTTAGTTCCACGTTCAGGATTGTTCCAACAGAAAACAAATACAATAATAAATGTTAAAAATGTTGGAGATATAATTAGCATATGTTTTGGGGAGTTTTAAGAATCGAAGGTTGAGAAAACAATTTATAAACACTGATGCCCGTTTTCACCATCGATCCTTAAGTTTTGGGGACACCTAAAAAAATTAAAGTCCTAGTTTCGTAAATGTCAATTAATCAGCCATTTGACAGCTGATTAGTTGATATCTACGATGATCAGTTTTTCAGAAACCGGGCGTTAGCGGCGTTGAAAACGAAACTTAACTCGGGATCGATGATGAAAACGGGCGTATATCCCTGTGTTAATTAATGCTCCTACTTTGTGGTAAATATTATTTTTTATTTACTAGACTAACTGCACGTCTGCGTGCTGCGTGTGTGTTATCGTTTTAATATAAATATCAAGAACGATTCTTTACGATATACTATTTTAGACACCGCATTTATTCTTTTTGCAGTATCCTATGAATGAATCCAAACAAGAAATATTCGTGGCTATACGCTATACCCATAATTAGGTACTGATTTTTCGGTATCATTATATAACATGTAGTTTTCAAGTTAAGATATTTAGAAATAATTTGTATATAAATTAAAAATTTTATGTAATGTGCGAGTGTTCGATAGATGTAGAATATGATTCATTCGTAGTGAAACATAATTCGGGTAATTGGTAATGGTAATGATATTGATGTTGGATTTAGTGAAAGTTGTAACAACGGATATTTGAATGGTCGTGTCATATTCAATGCTGAATTTTTAAATTTTATTTGATGAACCACCGTGCCGCAATGAAGAAGCATGAAAATAACATCGAGAAGGAATAAGTTATAAGAAAATCATGCAATTTTTACCAACGTGTTATTTATATAGAATAAATTACGTGTTCACGGAAGTTGCCAAATTCGATGTAGTCATGTGGTCACATTTGTTATAATCAATTATTACTGTGTATTACAATCATAACTACTTATAGCATGTTTATTGATAATAGTAGGATAATGCTCAATATGTTTATACGAGGGGTACCTTTATATTAATTCCTTGTGTAAAAGTTGAGTAAATTTTCCATTAATTAAGTGACTTTTATTCGACTTTTATATAAAATTGCATTCCAAATAATGTATCAGCGTGGGGCTCGTGAAATCATTTTTGAAAATATACAATCCAACCAAGACTGTACTAGATCTATACAAAAACCAAGACTTAGCAACATGCAAATTGCGTTTACAATATCTTTTGTATTCCAGTTGTTGTGGATCCCTTTCAAATGTCGGGGCCAACTTTTAACCATAGACTACAGATTTCTTTAACTTATTCGCAGCTCTTTTATTTGTGGAATAGCAAGAATCGTCAATACTTTATTAAAACAATGCATTGATATCATTTACAATGTACCAAGAGAATTAATACGGTACCTGCGTATTATTATAATGTATCAGATAAAGTAATTTTTACTATGTAACAAGTTACAGAAAAACAGGATTTCAAGTCGATGTAACTTTTTGATTGTAATGATTTTCGAAATTGGTTAAGAAACTTGTAGAAATATCATTTGTCTATCCTAGTTGATTTTGGTACAGTTGTATTGGTTATTATGAATTTTATCACTGTTTTACATTTTGAAATATTTATAGGTACAATCATAATGGTATATTAAAATACTTGTATGAAATGAATTAGTTTTATTTTTTACCAGTAATATTTTTCCTAATGGGAGTCAACCAAATATCTCGAAAAGATTCCCAATTAATTCATTAAATTCCATATTATATTTCATATAAAATAATAGTGGTTAAGGCACGCAGCCGCTTTTGCTGTTACATGAATAGACAAGCTCGTCTGGAGAAGTATGTATCCGTCACATAATACCGCTGTAACGTAGATGTTATTATTGTAATAAGTTGGCAAACAGTTTACCTGCGGTTGATGCCGCCGCCTATAGTCATGAGGGATTACAGATGGGTTGTAGACCTTTATAAAAGTGGGCCCAAGTTACCATACGGTACAGCAAAGCATAGTACTTCCACTTCACGGCGCGCCGGTCTTCTGTGACTAGGGATGTCTAAAGTGAAGAATATATCGATATATCGGATGCAAATATCGATATGATCATCATTTCAGCCTGTACGCGTCCACTGCGGAACATATGCCTCCTCCACTTCCACTTCGAGCGGTTTGTAGCAGCTTCGCATCCGGCGAAGTCCCGCAAATTTGGGCAGGTCGTCAGTCCATCTCGCGGGTGGCCGGCCCACACTGCGTTTTCCAACACGTGGTCAAGAACCTTACTGCCCCAATGGCCGTCAAACTGACGGTCGAAAAAATATAGATATATTAAAACAAGTAGAAAAAGTACGAAAAGATTTCGCCGCTGTGGGAATCTAACCCACGTCTTCGGCATTCGCGCTAGCCACTGAGCTAAACGGCTGATAGCCACAGCGACGAAAATCTTAACGCCTTCCTTCTACATTGTTATTTAGCATTTGAAGCAATGCTTGGCGCATCTATTGTTATTATATCCTTTCCAGCATACAAACAATTTCGAATATCGTTTTACGACGATAATTCGAACGAGAGACGTCGCCATTGCTTTTTATAAATTTTAAAGTTTTT